TAACAAAGGGAAAACTAGGAAAGGTTTTGCAGAAGAGGTAACATTGGAGCTTAACTTTGGAGAATGAGTAAATATTCTCTAGACAAGGAAGAATGTGAGTAGTCTGGGCTTGTAAAAGAACACAACTATTAAAGATGTGGCAGAGAGCTCAATGTGGCAGCTAACAGGGGCCCATGGGAAAGACCGGTAGAGATGGGTCCAGAGTCAAGTCATGAAGCCCTCTACTCATTTTTAAGGGCCTTAGGCTGGAGTGTTCTCTTCCTTCGTAACTCCTATCTATCAATCTTGGTGCCCCTACTTCACGGACAAGAGGTAATTTGAGTAGATACTGAGACACCCATCTTCTGCTTGTTTGCTTGAAGACTTGTTATTTCTTTATCTCTTTTATTAAATACAATTTTATTTATTAGCCATTTCATTTTATGGGCTTCCCTAGTGATTTGGATGATAATGGGCTGGCAATGCACGAGACCCCAGGTTTGATCCCTGGGTTGGGAAGATCCCGTGAAAAAGAGAATGACTACCCACTCCAGTATTCTTGCCTGGAAAATTCTATGGACAGAGGAGCCTGGTGGGCTACAGTCCGTGAGGTCACAAAGAGTCGGGCATAACTGCCCAACAAACATTTCATTTTAACCTATTTTAAACCTATTTCTAAGACTTTAAAATAACCTTCTATAGAAGGTTATAAGAAGACACAAAGATCTTCTTCTGTCATTCTTAAAATTCTACCTTTAGTAACTTCTGGAATCCCAAGTGGTAAGGTAAAGTAAAGGTTAGAGTCCTGGTTTCTGACACACAAACCCTTGTTTCAAGCCTCAGATGAAGGGTCATTCAGTTGCTGTTAGTATATCTCTAGTAATGGAAATATTGACCTATACCTGTATTTGTTAATACTGATATATCAGGGCTTCTCAGTGGCTCAGATGGGAAAGAATCTGCCTGCAATGCGAGAGATCTGAATTTAATTCCTGGGTTGGAAAGATCCCCTGGAGGAGGGCATGGCAACCCACTCCAGTATTCTTGCCTGGAGAATCACCATGGACAGAGGAGCCTGGTGGGCTACAGTCCACGGGGTCACCAAGAATCGGACATGACTGAGTAACTATACTGATACATCAAAGACTAATAAAACTGCAGAGCTGAAATTAGTCAACGTTTTGCAGATGAGAAAACCAAGGTCTAGGGAGGAAAAATCATTTAGCTAAGGTCATACGGTTCAGTTCAGTTTAGTTCAGTTCAGTTCAGTCACTCAGTCATGTCCGACTCTTTGCGACCCCATGAATTGCAGCACGCCAGGCTTCCCTGTCCATCACCAACTCCCAAAGTTTACTCAGACTCATGTCCATCAAGTTGGTGATGCTATCCAGCCATCTCATCCTCTGTCATCCCCTTCTCCTCCTGCCCCCAATCCCTCCCAGCATCAGGGTCTTTTCCAATGAGTCAGCTCTTCGCATCAGGTGGCCAAAGTATTGGAGTTTCAGCTTCAGCATCAATCCTTCCAATGAACACCCAGGACTGATCTCCTTTAGGATGGACTGGTTGGATCTCCTTGCAGTCCAAGGGACTCTCAAGAGTCTTCTCCAACACCACAGTTCAAAAGCATCAAATCTTCAATCATAAAGTAGATGTTGACAAATCCAGAAGGACAATTTATCTTTTTCAGCCAGCAACTTTGTTTCTCTGACTACAGAATTAACTTATCAGATCTCTATCTGAATTATTGGGAGTCAGGAACCTGGGGTACCAACCCATCCTCTACTGCTAATCATTTCCATGACTCAGGTCCCAGCTGTGTCAGTCTTTCAGGTCTGTTTTCTCACCTGTGAAATCAGAGGCCTGGACTAGAGGAACTCCCAGAGTCCTCCTCCCAGACATTTATAGAGTCTTTATCCTTTCTCTAAAAGAAGATATGTCTAAAGGTCCTAGTGGACCAGTTGGAGACTGAGAGACGAATACAGTAAAGGGAACTGGCTCAAGAAGGTTCATATGTCCTCAACCATTCGCTAATCCAAGCTTCTAGTCAGATGCATTCTTGGAGCTTTTATTTTCTGATTTGAGGGCATTTTACTGCAGTCTCACTTTAGGAACATTTTACACTTTCTTTTGTAGCAGAAATGTTCCGATTACCTGCCCTTTAAACTTGGGCCATAAAGTCTTTCCTTAGAAACTGACTCAACTTTATATGTTGCGGCTGGTTTTGAGTAAATGGGCTGAAGCTTGCAGCCAAGCCTCAATGCAAACAAAAACATTTTCTGGTCAAGCATTTTCTGGTTTGTTCAACTCCATTACAGGGTTGGCTTTAAAAAAGAAAAAGTTAAAACCCACAGAAGAGCAAAACACAAACCCTGGGAAGACAGTTTCCAGCCACATTAGCTCAGATCACCAGGGCAGAAAAGAACCAGGGCCTTCATTGTCCAGACCATCGTCATCTCCAGACTTTCATCTTATGTTCTTCTGCTATTTTAATTTCACCACTTCAAAATGGGGGGAAAATAGGTTAATAGTTTCCATGAGTTTAGACTGTGACCAGAGGCATACTAAGCAATTTCAGAATCTCCAGTAACCACAGTTTGGAGGAGAGAATGGTGATGGATTTACCGTCCTCTGGATTCCAGAGTTAGGGGACTTGGGCCAGCACTGTGATGCCAGAGTGGGATGTAAACAATATTCCTTCCTTCATTCTTTTTGCATATGTTCATCCTAGGATTCTTTTTATTCCAGGTAGTATGTTGGGTGAAAAAGTGAAAGTGTTAGTTGCTCAGTCATGCCTGACTCTTTGTGAGCCCATGGACGGTAGCCCACCAGGCTTCTCTGTCCATGGAATTCTCCAGGCAAGAATACTGGAGTGGGTTACCATTTCCTTCTCCAGGGAATCTTCACGACCCAGGGATTAAACCTGGGTCTCCTGCATTGCAGGCAGATTTTTTTTCTACCATCTGAGCCACCAGGGAAAAAGCCTGGGACAAAGACACATTCTTAAGACATAATCCCTGTCCCTAAGGAATCGCAGTACAGTATAGGAAATACCCATATGTGCAAATAATTGTAATACGGTGAATACTGTAAGCGCTATAAGCAACATGAATTAAGTGCTTAGGAAAGGGAGAGAAAAAAAAGTTTATTCCAACTGAAGTTACTGAAGAAGGCTTGCCTGGGGAGATGCCTTCTGGTCCATAATTTGAGAGGTCAAAACAGCAAATTGTGATTCCTTCTAGGCATGACAATGCACAGAAGTATGGAAGTTTCTCATTGGTTTGAGCAAGGGTAGCAGTCTGAAACATTAGGGAAATCTGAGCCTAAAACAGGAGATTGCATGTCAGGTGAGGAACTAGCTCTTTGCACAGTGAGGAATCATAGAAGTTTTTCCGGCAGGAAAGCTCCTTAATCACATCTGTCTTTTAGAAAGGAAACTGAAAGTCATTATGAGGATGGGCAAGTGTTACAGAAGGAGAGATGGAAACAGGAAGCCGGTCAGGCACTGTTTCTCTAGTTGTCACCAGCACACTGCTTATCTTCCAACAAACGTGCCTTGCCTCATGCGCATTTAAAAGTTCCAGTGGTAAGAGGGAAATATTTCTTCTCCATTTCCACATCCCTTCAGTTCTGCAGTTTTCTAATCAGATCTCTATCCCAGGTTTATTCTAGATTGTAAACTCATGGAGTCAGTCCAAACATCTCGGTTAGAATATTGCATGTTACATGTGAAACTCTGTTGTCTGGTAAGAAAGCATACAATTCTAGGCAAGGATGGAAAGTTAACAACTAATTTTATCGATTTTTCTGAGTCCTGACTCAATAAATGATATCCATTTTAAAGCGGGGGAGGAGGATTTATTTTTAAACCTGAATGTATTTTTAAAGCCAAATAAATTTGACTTTCTTCTTTCATTTCTCAAAAGTGAAACCCTCTAGGTTCAACAAACCCTCTAGACTCAAAACCCTCTAGGTTCAACATTTCCATCAAGAGTTCACAACACTAAATGTGGAGATGGTGTTTGAATCAAGGTTTTAAATGATCAAAACATCATTGATTATACTGATCTCTCATTGGGTTCTATAACCAGCATGCTCTCTGCAAGTCTGGGTCATCAGAGAGACCACTCTAAAATATTAAAGTTTTGAGTGATCCTGGTGATATTTTGATGATTAATCAAGTTTTATAAGTAATAGAGAAGTATTCTTCCAGTGGAGAACCCAGGTTGTGTAGTTCAGAGGTCAGCCAACTTTGTGCTAAGTCACTTCAGTCATGTCTGACTGTTTGCAACCCCATGGACTGCAGCCTGCCAGGCTCCTCTGTCCATGGGATTCTCCAGATGAGAATACTGGAGTGGGTTGCCATGCCCTCCTCCAGAGATCATCCCAGTCCAAGGATTGAACCTGCGCCTCTTAGGTCTCCTTCATTGGCAGTCAGGTTCTTTACCACTAACACCACTTGGGAAGCTCAACTATAGCCATGGCCAAATCCAGCTTGCTTTTATAAATAAAGTTTTATTAGAACACATTCATGATCATTTACTTACACATTGTCTGTGGCTGTCTTCCTGCCACAACAGCAAAACTGAGTTGCTGTACAAAGCCAGAGGGCTTCCCTTGTGGCTCAGTGGTATAGACTCCTTCTGCCAGTGCAGGAGACACAGGTTTGATCCTCGAGCCAGGAAGATCCCGTGGAGGAGGGTGTGGCAACCCACACCAATGTTCTTGCCTGGGAAATCCCATGAACAGAGGAACTTGGAGAGCTACAGTCCATAGGGTCTTAATGAGTTGGACAGATTTTAGTGAGTAAAACACAAAACACATCTGCATGGCCTTAGAAGAGCCACTTGATCCATCTGTTTCATTCTCTGTCTGTAATAAACACTCTGCCTTCCTCCAAATACTATGTGAAATCACATGAGCCCATATGTTATGGAACACTGCTTGTCATGCTATAAGTTACTATGTAAGTGGAGCTCCTTACATCCCAGCCTAACGTTGGCATTTTTTCTTTTCCTCCCTAGAACACCCTGGAGCAATGCAGCGTTTGCTCCAAGCCCATCATGGAGCGGATTCTCCGAGCCACAGGGAAGGCCTATCATCCTCACTGCTTTACCTGTGTGATGTGCCACCGCAGCCTGGATGGGATCCCATTCACCGTGGACGCTGGTGGCCTCATCCACTGCATTGAGGACTTCCACAAGTAGGCGATCTACTCTCCCTTCTGCTGCCTGATGGTCCTCTTGGGGTCTGGTCTTACTGCCTGGCATATGAGCTACTCTTCTCTCTCCAAGCTATAGAATCTCAGGATTTGGTGCGACCTTAGAGAGAAGTTATTTATTCCCTCCTCCAATGCGGGAAGTGATATCAAGTAATCCGTGTGGTCCTCCGGTGTGGCCTCTGCTTCAAAGCTTCCCTTGGGCTTATCCATCACGTGTTTGTGTCACCTTAATTGTGAGAAAGTTGAGTCAGCCACAGAACATATTACTGGAAAGAGGCAATATCACAGGGTTGTTCTCCCTGGCCTAAACGTGAACAAGCTGTGAGCCAGTGGACAAACTGCCCGGTATTCTCTGAGCTCTTCAGTTTGTTCATTAGACCAGACCCATCCAAGAGTTCTCTCTAGAGCCATGTCTTTTCCACTCTGCACAGAGGAAGTTATAGTGGGAGAACATTTGAATTGTTCAGAGAACAGTTCAGCCCCTCTTGCTAAAGCAAGCCTCTTGCATATTTGGAGGTGGTTTTATGCCATTATAAACATATACATACCCTCCCCTAAGCTCTTCCCCCAGATCTTCTCTTCCTCAGGATATTTTCTGTTCTTTTGAGGACAATTAGAAAGTAGAACCTCAAGATCAAGACCACTTAACTGATGGGCCTGGAAAAATATATCCCTGCTTCCTCACTTCTCTCCTTTGTAGAGTCCTCTTTTATTATAGCCAGAGTGGTCATGAAAAATTGTATAGTTTTGCATTTTGCTTATTCTTATTTGACCAGTTTGTTGGTTGATCACATTTGTTGCATATTCCCAGGAACGATATGATAGCTCTAGGTGTGGTTTATAATTGGCAGACATGGAAGTTTTGCCCAGCAAACACAAGAATCATCTGAGGCTTGCAACGAGATGAACTTGTATGGCTCATCAGTTTGGGTTCTGTTGCCGTCCAGATATACAGTCTTGTGGGTTAATTTTCATTGTTGTGTTGTCAACAACTGGGAGGTACTTGCCACAGCAGCTTGGGGACCTGAGATTCATATTGTAAAAAAAGAATTTCCTGACCACTTTCCAAATAGCAGAAAAAGTGAAAACCTCACCAAAAGATGTGAGGCTGAATGAATTAAAAAAAAAAAAAAATCCAGAGGCAGGAATTCTCAACCTGAATTAGACAAGGAAGGGCTGGCTTACTTTGAAAGGGCAGTCACAGCACAAATTGTACTTCACATTAGTGATATTTTTAGCTTCTAATTACACATGAAAAAAAAAACTTGCATCTATTTAAGGGAAGTGAAAAGATACCAATAGGGAATGTATTTCTGTCACTGTTTCTCTCCTTTCTTACACTTACTCTAATCCAAGAAAGACTGATAGATATAATCAGAGCACACATGTTTCTGTTGCTGGAAAAGACTGATATGTTACACCCCTCAATTAAAACAGGAAGTCAATTCTGACAAATGTAAGTTTATATCTATGCCATTTATCTTTCATTTCGAGGAGTGGGGAGCGTAATTACAGACTTGTGACTGGTGACATGTGTGTAGGTCTGAACACTGCAGGAAGACACACTTGAGCAATTAAAACGGAAAAAGAATCCAAAACCCCCAACAGTCCCCACCATCGCTAATTCAATGGGAAGTTAAAATGCAACCTATTCAAAATAATGTTGTCTGCATGATTGGCAGGTATGAAAGGGGAGAAGCTTTTTGCTCTTTTCCCCATTTCCAAAAAGAAAAATAAAAGACATATTTTAAAGAACTCTGTTTCTGGGTCTCGAAACACTGGAACAGAAAGCAGCTGTAAGTCCAACCCAGGGTAGACGTTGCATGGCTAAGGAAAGTGGGTTACAGAGAGGAGATGCAGCTGCCCTCTACAGATAATTGGTCATTCTGAACAGATCTCCCATTTGTGAGCTTCTAGGAAATGCCTTTCCATTCAATTCAACCACATCTATGAAGAGCCCTCTATGTGCCTATTACTGTGCAAAGGGAAAGAAATTGCATAAGTAGAAATTCATAGAGAGAAGCCCTGACTAGCAAGGAATTTGACAGGAGGAAGGAAGAGAAGAAGTGCAGGTTACGTGTGAGATCAGGCAAAAAATACTATGAAGGTTGACGAGATGAGGCACAGGCAAGGGTTTGAGCTATCAGGGCCAAAAGAGATCACTGGGACCTGAGTAGGCTTCTGGAAGCAGAGTGTTTTAAATGGGAAATGCAGATTACTGACAGAAGGAACGGCTCAGGCATTATAGAAGGGCACAGAGTAAAGAATGGCTTCTCTGCATTCAAGGAAGCTCTGCTTGGCTGGAGCTAGAGCAGCCTGAGAATAGAAACTGAGGTGCAGGAGGCCCAGGAGAAGGGATTTATCTCCCTGCTTAGAATCCTGTCCTTTAAACTGGTGCTTCCCAAACTTGAGCGTGCTTACCGTCACAGATCTTGTTAAACTGCAAAGTTTAGTTCAGGAGATCTGGAGCAGGGGCCTAAGATTCTGCATTTCTGACCAGCTCCCAGGTGGTCTTGGACTGCACTCTGAGTAACTAGCATCTGAAATGCTATTTTTAAAGCCTTGCTAATGGGCCATCCCCTCCATAACCACCTTCAGTCGGGATTGGCCCAAATCCCCCATCCTGTTAGGCAGAAACTCTTTCCCATGTGTCATTTCAGATGACTGCTCAAATTAGTTTCCTGGCAGACTGCCTGTATCCCACCCTCACTCCCAACACACACCCATACACACCACACACACACAAACACACACAGACTTACTTTCCCATTTCACCTAAGTGGCCATCTTTCAAGGCCCAACCCAGTTATCATCTAGTGAAAATTCCATGGACAGAGAAGCCTAGGAGGCTACAGTCTATGGGGTTGCAAAGAGTCAGACACGGCTGAGTACAGCACGCACAAAGAAGCGTCCTCAGATCTCAAACTCTCCCTAGCCCCATGTGTGAATTTAGATCTCTTTCTCAATGTTTTATAGTTTTGTAAATCCACTATAGATAGCACTTAACATAGCCTGATTAGTGATAAAAAAAAATGCAGATACACAATTTTACAGTAACCCCCTTAAGTCATTTTTGCAGTATGATAGGATATGCATATATGTTAAAAGAACAAATACAGAAATGTATAGAGGTCCCTCACCAGTCTGACTGCTGGAGTCTTAGTTTATTTCTGTATTCCCAGTTCCAAGACAGTGGGCTCAGAAAAGCAGACTTATTTAAATCGTCCTTTCATTGCGTTGAGCCTTTATTCCACTGTCTGATCTTTCTTATCAGGGATGTTACATGCATCCATCTATTTGTTTAATCAGCATCCATTTGTGGATTGCTAAAAATGTGCCAGGACCCAGTGAATAAGACCATCCTTCTCTGAGCTTTGGCTCCTATGGCTATATAGCAGAAATGATAAAAAGTATTTCTTCATGTTTGCTATCAGTAAAAAAAATAAGGACAAGTATATAGAGTTCTTAACAAGACTTGGCATGCAATAAGCACACAAAACCATCAGGAGTATTTTTTATCAAATTAATTTTATTATTATTGTCTGCTTAGTGAGTCAAGTCTTTAAATAGACCACCTGAGAGTTTTCAGAGTCCTTAAAATGCTGGCCAGGGAACACCATGGGGACTGTGGAAGCCACTTCCAGTCTCTACCCTTTACCATTTCCCATCTAATGAGGCCAGTTGGTAAGAAAGAACCATTACTCAGCAAGAATACTGTTCATACCTTTCCAAAGAGGAAAGACCTTGAGATTGAACATAAAGGCCTAAGCAACATCTTTTTATGCAGTATACTTCATTCCATTAGATATTGTCTGACTTTCTATCTTTAGCACCAGTCACAATAGTTATTTCTAGAAACTCAGAAATAAAGCAAATCCTGTCCTTTGGAAGCTCACGGTTTTGAGGTCTCCAAAGATATGCAAATAATTACTACTAAAATAGGCAAACTCAATGAAAGATATTTTATCCTCAAGGAGTATGTAATCCTACTTGAGGACATTGGGAAAGGCTCACCGATAAAGTGATAGGCTAGGTGCACTTCTGACCTCACAAATTTTATGGTCCCAGTAGGTTTGGGGAAAGGAGATTTTGCAGCTGATTCCAGAAGCCTGCTTATTTCACTACTGATGACCTAGATTCAAAAATAATCAGGTAGTCCAAAGCAGTTCTTTTGCCACTGAGTATAAACTTCTTGCATAAAATGCCAATTATAACAACTCTGATTACTGCTGAAGTTGTACCATGATCCTTTTAATTTTTCTTTCATAGCAATCAATTGATCTGCTGCTTAATTCATATTTATTTAGATTGCAGCCATACAGATGCCTTTTGGGTGCCGCCAGGAAAATTAATATGTACATATAGAGTGTAATGTATGTAAAAATGCTTTGACAACCATAAAGTGCTCTGCAAAGTGTTAGATTACTATCATTATTTCTTTTTAAGTCTCTCTACAAATAGATAAAATTTAACATCATTAATCTTAAAAGCATTACCATGAAAAAACTGAGTTGCACAGTCTTTCTTTCTTTTTCAATCTTTTCAGTTCTTATCTGTGTCCATTGCAAATCATGTCTCATTTTACACCTTCATAAATGGCACACCTAATTTCCAGAAGATACAGATGGATGCATGGCCTGTATTTGCAGCCTATTGATCTGTTATAAGAAAAAAAAAAATGTTATGGCCATTAGTCATAGTAAGGAATATTAAGAGTTAGGAAATATTAAAATTTCTCACCAATAGTTGACCTCAAAAACATGTGTATATTTATCCAAATATATACACATACATACATATATAGGGCTTCCCTGGTGGCTCAGCTCATAAAGAATCTGCCTGCAATGTGAGAGACCTGGGTTCGATCCCTGGGTTGTGAAGATTCCCTGGAGAAGGGAAAGGCAGGCTACCCACTCCAGTATTCTGGCCTGAAGAATTCCACGGACTGTATAGTCCTCAGAGTCATAAAGAGTCGGACACAACTGAGTGACTTTCACTTTCACACACTTATATATACATACATACATATATATGTGTATATATATATATTGATATATATATACACACATTTCTAAGAAAGACACTCCAATAATTGGGAGTGAGGCAAACTTACAACCTCAGGAAATTTGGGTAGAGCCTGGTAAGCACATACAAAGTCTAGAAGCAAAAGTCAGAAGCAAGTAGGGGCTGCTAAGACCTTCATCCTTCCCTCTGATTGATCCGGCCCAGGATTTGTATTTGCAGTCTTTCCACAGGTGAATGCCACGCCACACACTGAGTGGCCTGTGGCTCCTAGATGCAGATGCAGTTCATACACTCACCTCCCACTTTCCCAAATATCATGATGTTTATGATCTAGAAGAACCTCAACAGTCATTGAGTATAAATCCCCTATTTTAGCTAAGGAAGGAGACCCAGGGAAGGAAGGTGATTTGCTCAAGGTCACACAAGGTGGTAGACCAGATGTCCTGGCTCTTGGTTTGCACCTTTTCTTTTCTATTGTTTTCATTTCTTTGCCAGTGTTTAAGTTCAATATCTAACCAGAACTCTCTCTCCTCTTTCAGGAAATTTGCTCCCCGCTGTTCTGTGTGCAAGGAGCCTATCATGCCTGCCCCTGGCCAGGAGGAGACTGTCCGGATTGTGGCTCTGGATCGTGATTTCCATGTTCACTGCTACCGGTGTGAGGTCTGTGGTCAGCGCCCCCACCCCCTGCCAGGCCCATCAGAGCCAGATTTTTATAAATATCACAATTATTAAATCTAGGAGAGCCCTTAGTGCCTGTGTTCATTTGATTTGGGTTTTGCAAAAGACCTGTGACCCCAGTTGGAAGTGATGAGAGATTTCTTGCCCGAGAGCCATGTCATCATGTATATAGCAAAGGGCAGCAAGTCTTTCTCTTCTAATCTGGGTTTCAAAAGGACACCACATTCAGAAAATGACTTCAAAGCATTTTGTTGTCCTAGTCCTATGACTTGCCCAGGGCCCATCTTTTGAAGCCGCTTTCTTGTTTTCTACCAGACCTTCTGAGTGCAGCAGTTAGCAGCTCCTCCTTCTATCTGCAAGAGATAATATGAACTATCTTATTACCACCTCATGGCACTGGCTCATTTAGTCCCACGAGATTTTCCCAAGACATGGGCCGGTGGGGCTGGCAGGGCTGCCCCTAGTCTCTAGGACTGCAGTGATTCCATCTTCCTCCTGAGCTGTAGCTGACCACCTGGTTTATGCAGTGTGCTTTGCTCGGTCCTACAGCCCCAGTTGCATGCCTCTCTCTGGCCTTAATGTGAGCAAAGAGAATAAAAAACTTCCAGCTTTTACACTAGGTTATGACTAAAGAGCAATAAAAATATCTAGCCTTAGAATTGACCTGAATTGTAAGTGTGGAAAACCTAGAGTTCATTTTGCAGTTGGAGAAACTGAGGTTCATTGGAGGCAGGTTTCCCACTATTTCTGGACACACTTGCCTCTATGTGCCAACAGGCTTTGACTTTTCATGGTTTTGTTGTTTGTTCTAAGAGTGGTGTGAGGTGTACCTTTTCTCTTCTCAGATGAAATGATGGCAGTACAGAATAAATTTGTACTGCACATATGTCTTAGAATCAGGACTGTAGAATGGGAGGAACACTGAATTAAAAGGAGGCAGACCTCCATCACCCTGGACAAATCACTTCCCTCTCCACAGCTCGCTTCCCCACCTGTAAAACAGGCTTGTTCTGGATGCCCCAGTATTGGCTCCTTTGGTTCTAAGATTCAAGGTGCTAATAGTTGAGTTTCAACACTGCAGTTGACTCTGGGGTCTTTAGGGTGCCCAGGTAACTGTTAATGTTAGGTCATTAAATGCTTAAAACCATGTCATTTATGTAATTTCTTTCTTTTGATTATGATCAAAAGATTCTGTTTAATTCCGTCACTCAGTTTCCCCAAAAGTCTCTGCTGCTGCTGCTGCTAAGTCGCTTCAGTCGTGGCTGACTCTGTGTGACCCCATAGACTGCAGCCCACCGGGCTCCCCCGTCCCCGGGATTCTCCAGGCAAGAACACTGGAGTGGGTTGCCATTTCCTTCTCCAATGCATGAAAGTGAAAAGTGAAAGTGAAGTCGCTCAGTCGTGTCCGACTCTTAGCGACCCCATGGACTGCAGCCTACCAGGCTCTTCCATGGGAATTTCCAGGCAAGAGTACTGGAGTGGGGTGTCAAATGTCTCTAGATCTCCAGAATATCTGCTTGTTCATTCATAAAGCTGGCCTTCTTGGGAGGAATAACTATAGGTGCCATCTCTGCTGCTGCTGCTGCTGCTCCTGCTGTTGTGTTCTGGGTGACACCCTTTTTGAACTTAAATTTCATTATTTGTCAAATTCAGATATGAACCTCAATGACCCCCCCCCCCTTGCTGTCATAGAAGACAGCAGAGGTGAGGCACACAGCAGTTGTGACCTTCTAAAAGAGTTTCTACTACAGTTAGCAAGGGCACACACTACAAGATGAAATACTAAATTTTTCTTTTCCGAAGAAATTTCTGTTTCCTCTAAAGGTGAAGGTCAGTGTTTAACTGTCATATAACACTTTTCAAAATGGATGCTCAGGTACTATTAACAGTAGTATGATTCTTTACAGTTATGTAGCTCTTGGCATTTTTTTCAAAGTATAGTCATATCCATTTTCCTCTTTGATCCTCCTAACATCTCAGTGAGGTAGGAATTGTGGGAATAATTTTTAGAGTGGCTGTTGGCCTTGCCTGCAGTGATAGAGGCAGGAGCAGAACTAATGGTGGTACCCAAGGGCCCTGTCCCCCCATCCGGCACTCATTCCTCTATACTGTGCTGTATCCTTTAGAAAGTACAATGGATCATTCCCCACTCCCCCCCACCCACGCCAAACCTTAGGATTTTATTTTCTTGCTAAAGTTGGAGTAAGTATGCAGAGCCTGTTTGTGGTCCGCTGCTTAGCAGGATTCACTCTGCAACTTAGCTTCTGACCTGGAATTACCACGAGATTCTGTCCTTGCACTTGTATATTACTTTTGAAAAATCTTTAAATTAATAGTAAATGATAAAGATCTATTCTCTCCTGTTCTTATTGTTTGGGTGAAGAGAACAAAATACTTGGGAGCCTAAAGCCTCAGGTTCTTCCCCTTCTGTACCTGTATTTCCTATTGCGTGACTTCAGGAAGGTCATTTTACCCTGTTCTTATTTATGTCCCCAGCCTCTGCTTCAACTTAATGCAGGACATATCATATGATGTCCTGCGGAAGAGAAAAGTTGGTAATTGACCTCTTTATGGAAGCTTTGAATGAAAAGAGGAATTTGTTTCCATTTTCACTGACATCCTTTCCCTCTGCCTTCCTTCTTCCAGGATTGTGGTGGTCTCCTGTCTGAAGGAGATAACCAAGGCTGCTACCCGCTAGATGGACACATCCTCTGCAAGACCTGCAATTCTGCCCGCATCAGGGTGTTGACCGCCAAGGCCAGCACTGACCTTTAAATCCAGTCGCCTGTTTAGCGGTTAGTGGGTGGCTCCAAGAAGGATGAAACACAAGAAAAATATGAAAAGAGAAATAGGAAAAGAGAGGAAAGGCAATCAAGCTATGGGATGGTCTCTACTTCATCCACTATTAACCTTTCTTTAGAAACACCTAGAATATGAGATTTTTTTTGAGTTCTTACAATACACATTTCACAGTTAATCATGTAGAACCTTGATAGGCCTTTGTTCCCAAGGACTTGCACATTTTTGCACGGATTATGCTCCATCCCATTCACTTCTGCATTCCTTTAACTTTTAATCCCTATGTTTGTCTCTCTTTTCATCTGGTTGAATGGCTTTTTTTAGTGTGGTATTTGCTGTCACACAGTTTTTCCTGGGGAAGTCTGCCAACTCCCAGGTGCTTTTCGGCTTGAAGGCTCCATCCTATCACTTCCACATTGCCAGCGATCATAAAAGATAGTCATTCATTTTCTGTGTATTGAAAAAAAAAGTCTTTTATTGCTCTAAACTAGTCATGTCCCTTGGGAAAAAATGCACAATTGTATGTCAGGTTATAAAGAATTTAAACTGTAAATTACATAGATTAAAAGAAGCTGAATTTGCAGCCATCCAAATTCAAAATTATAATGACCAGTGGTGGGGCTCATTTGAAAATAGGTATTGGTGAGAGAGAACCAAACCTCAATATTTTTCCTGCAGAAATTACAGATGGGGTATACTGGATAAAGCATTTTGGGGTTATATTTAAAAAGGCATTATTATGCCTCAAATATTAAATTTTTTCTTTTTCCATGCTACCTGGATATAATAATATGGACAAATTTGGTTTTCTCTAAAATATAACTTCCAATACTGTTCCACTTTTCATATCAGATATATTGCAACATTTTGTTTGTTTGTTTGTTTGTTTGCTTTGGGAGGGAGGACATACAAACACAACTGCCAAAATTGTGTAGTTGTATTCCTCTAGAGGAAGATATCTATAAAGAAATGTTTAATTTTTTTTTCCAGGCCCAGGTCCATTTTACCTGACAGTTGCAAATCAGGGCACATAAAATTGTCTTAGTTTTGTTTAGTTTACCTTAAAAAGACAGGAAACTTGAAAAGATTGTGGAACCACAGTTTCATTATTCTTATAATTCTTCTGCAACTCAAAATACATATTGCAGGAGACATTTTCATATCATTGATGTGACATTTACACCACACTTTCATAGACAATCGCTGAAAAGAAATTGCCTTTTTGAACTAAAAATATTCAGAGCCTGGGATCTTTAGTCAGATTCTTTTGGGGCAGTGAAATGCTTGCCTGCTAAATGCAGAACCATATACATTGTTTTTTTATGTCCTAACATGTTTCCTTTAAGGAACAACCCTGCTCTTAGTAGCAGGTTACCATCTTGTAAATTAAATTTTGGATTAAGAAATGTTCAAATCTTTTTTAAGATTAGGTCAACCTTCTTAAAAACTTTCTGCAAGTATATACTTTTAAATTACGAAGTATTTTAAATATAACAAAAATATAGATAATAATATAATGGATCTCTGTAATACCCAGTTTAAGGAATCAAATATAACAAATATAGCTACATTCCCCTGTATACCCTTCCCTGATTCCACAAAGATCTTTTTCATGATTAGAAGGTGATAAACTCTTCTAGTCTGACTTTTGTTTTTAATTTTAACACTCAGAAACGAGAAATTATTTGTGAATGTTTTGCATTGCAATCCAGACATCAAGCATCCCAATTAAATTTATTTTGCTTTAGTGGGAATAATCATAAAGGTGGTTCTTTTTTTTCAATAAGATATCCTTAAGCCTATGGCTCTTGTAAGTCAATCTGTGGCTCATTTGCTTTGGTCACCAAACAGTTTTGTTTTAGAACCACCACAGTTAGAATTTTCAAAGGGTCCTTTGACCACTGTGCGTTCCTCACCTTGTTTCCCTTGTCCTTGACCTCACATTTCTCATAATGTGAAATGCAAGAGGTCCTGCAGCATGTGGATTTTAGGATACAATGACAACTGTACCACTGAATTTCTGCCTTCCAAATGAAAGGAGACCATGCTGATGACCTCCAAGAGTACTGACTATTAGACAACTGGGGTGATACTATCTATAATCAGCTTGAATTGCTTCAGCCATTTGTTTTCTATGAAATACTTGGGGAAAAATTATCTTTTGGTCAAAAGGAAAGAGCCCAACTTATTGAGGGGTGGAGTTTATCTCTTGAAATTCAGTCTTATGAATTTTGCCAAAAGAGGGAGGATTTATGAAATATTTATACTATAAAAATGCAGTAACATTCTACTTGTTGGTTACATTTAAGTTCTTATGTAACTGAATGTTTACATGCCAAGAAAAAAGAGTTACAAGAAAAGGCTGTTACAGGCCCCTCACTGTGACACTGCCAGAATAGTGCTTGCTTACAATCTTTATAGTGCGTTTTTATCACGTAACCTCAGAGTATCTTTACCAAAGATTTTTAAAGTAAATCTCTTTTTAATATAGACTTATCATACTTTTATAATAATGAATGTGCACACCTACATATACAGAATATTTAGATTTAGATTTTTTTCTTTCACAAGGTATAATAAGGAAAGGATCCTAAAATATTTTATTTCAGGATTTCTTAATTATATGATTTATACTGCTTTCTTGTCTTCTATTAATCATTTGGTATCAGCAATGCCAAATCACTCTTTACTGTTTTAGCTACATGAAATGATGCCTATAACAGATATAAAGATATAGTGCCTTAAGGATGATAATTCTACTGTCTTATGATATCTTGTCTTGATTGTTACCATTTAAATACATAGATAATAGAAAAAATCATAGAGTCTATAAGAGAAGGTTTGTAAAAATAAACTAAAAAATATACCGGTTTTAAAAAAATTGTCACGAACAGAAATATTTGGTAATTCCATGTAACATGAGAGACATGGAAAAGGAAAAAAAACCCACGATGTCCTGGGCTCTGCAGATTGCTTCATGGTTAGATTTCTCCATCACCTGAATCCCCGGCTCATACTGACTCAGTGTGGAGTCTCATCTGTGAAGAGATTGGCCTTTAAAACTCAAAATAAGTCATGTGTTCCAGGAAAATGCATCAAAGCTTTGAGATCATGGACATCTCTGCAGCTCAATGATGTGGGTTCTTTTTCCTTTCATTAAAAAATTGTTTTTACCAGAGCAACTTCTCTGATCAAAATGACTTCATTGTGTGTATGCTGATGAATACAGTGGAGATATCAACACTATAACTGTTTCCTCACTAAGATTCTGCAGAGATGTTTGCGATAATGTTTCAAGTATATAAAATTCTAATTGCATTTAAACAAGTATTTTGTATTTGGGTTCAGGGGAAGGAAGAGAGCATTTTACCATGGGTCTGTCGTAGAGGGTTTATGGAATATAGACAGGACTCTGAAAACACAACTCCCAACAGTTTTCCTAGTTAATAATAATCCTATTAATGTGAACCAGCCAGGAGTAACAGTGTTATTTCTATTTGATATGGTTTAGGCTTCTCTTGTCAAATCTGCATTGGGGCTGCCCCTTGATCCCTCCATTATCAAGTTTTGAAGGGTGTTGGGGAAACTATGGCAGCTGCTAGGAAGATCAGGGAAACACTGATGTAACCTCACAGCCTCTCACCATTTCTCTTGGCTTGGAATGGCTTTTTTTCCATATACATTTCTAGAAATATTGCTATGCTACCTTAGTATTTCACATTTGTAGTTTAAACAAGTGATTGTCCATCTGTTGCCTGGAGCTTCAGTACATGTGTGTTATGAATGAAATATGACAGCATGTTCCATACCCTGCTTTAGCCATCTGTAGGAAACCAGGAGGCTGGAAAAGATATACCTCTGCAAAATGTGCCTCAAGTTCATTTCCTAAGATCGCTCTTTTGGTGCACTTTCACAGGAGACAATCAGAGAGCATCACGTATTTGTGCCTTATTTTTAAAGAAAACTTTACACTACTGTGAATGCTCCTCTGAAGAGTCTTCACATAAATAACCCTCCCAAACCGCAAAGATGTGCTCATTGAAAAGTCAAAATCCAGAGGAATCTGAACTCTTCATCTTAATGTATTCTAGCAGTATTTCTGTTCTCGCCATCTCTTGGAAGTACCTTATGGATTCCTAAGTTAGGACAACATTGTTAAGCATTCTTATGCTACAAGGTGATGTCTTAGGTGTTGTTAGTGATTAAGTGGTTTTATTTAGTGGTCTTACTCTAGTTTTAGTCAGCTAATGAAGAAATACTTCCACTTGAGCCTTTAATATCTATTCAGCATACCGCTTTTAATTGCCGTGGTCTTTTGGTTTGTTTTTTATTTTTTTTAATTTAATAGTATACAGAATTAGTTGAGGATCTTGGTTCTGAGTCATTATTATGGTGCAGTCAAGAATATATCAGGTCAAGTTGTTTCCTTGACAGGTAACTTTTCTCATGAGGCTGTCACTTGCTGTGTGCTGTGCTGTGTTCAGTTGCTCAGTTGTGTCCAACTCTTTGTGCTCCTATGGACTATAGTCCTCTAGCCTCTTCTGTCCGTGGAATTTTCCAGGCAAGAATACTAAAGTAGATTGTCATTTCCTCCTCCTCCTCCTTCCTGACCCAGGGATAGATCCGGTTTCTCTCATGTCTATCCTGCATTGGCAGGTGGATTCTTTATCACTGTGCCACCTGGGAAGCCTGGCTATTGTTTAGTTCACTTATGATTTCAGCCTTTAAAAAGTGATCTGATTAAAGCTGTGTGGCCTGGTGAGAGTTCTCTCTCCTTCTCCCCCTCCCTCCTTGTCTCCTTCTTATTCCTTAATATTTCTACTCATTAATGTTACCCTGATTGGACTTTTCATAAATAAATTAAATCAGTACATTACAATCCTTATGGAATTATGATCATATTAGGAGAAGAATTGTACCACAAAATATATGCAGCATCCCTAAATCCTTCCTTTAGAAAGGCATATTTTTCCAGA